AATTGGGTTCCAGTACAAAGCAATAGATTGATTAACTCTCGTATAACAAATCTACCACTACCGAATGATGAAGCTCTAACAATCTAATTAGATTCTATCTATCTCAGGTTGTAGTAGAAATCAAGAAAAGATGATCAGACTTCAATTGATTCAATGAATCATGCATCATTCGATTATAATCAAACAGTATAACAATCCCAAGTCATTACAATCAAGATCCCTAACACATGGAACTAGGGTTCTTCATACCCATGTGAGAGAAAGTTCTACTCCATAGAGAGAGAGGGAAACAGAATACAAAGCAGTCAGTCACCGGGATATAAGAAATGAACAAAACATGATGAATAAATCACTCACTCTCGACCAGTGGGGTCAGGACCATTTGATGCAAAAGATGTGCATATTCACGCTCAATCCTAATGTCTCTTTACCAAGATGGTAGCCTCTAAATGCTAGAGCTCACAAGATGGGTGTCGTTGCTAGCTTGTCCGGAGGTCTTAGACACGGGTTCAAATGACTGGCTAGGGTCTAGGACATGGGGGAAAAAGGCTTTTTGGGTAGTGGCAAACATAGCATAAGGTTCCACATTTCCATCCTAGAACCACAAAAAGTTCTAATGAATCGATTAGAACCCTCTCCTACACTCAATGGACACTAGCATCGCACAAAAACCTCACTTCCCTCAATTCCAAACTACAACCAATCACCAAACCATGTCACACTTACTTTCTTTTTACATATGCTAGTCAATTTCAAGCACAAGAGTGTAGTAGGCAAAAAACATGTAAATTTTCCTAAAGCTTGCATGCTTAGAAACACTTTTAAGAGCATGTTCAGCATTTATTATATTTTTGGTGGCCACTCTCTTTGCTTCTTTGCCCTCTTATTGATCTCTTTTTGTTTTTGTTTTTGCTTTTATTTTCTCTTTTCTTTGGGGGCTATAGAGAGCTAAAAACATGCCAATTTTTTTTTATACTTAAGGAACAATGCTAACTTTTACGAACTACCTCCACACTCACTTTACTTCTTAGCAAAACCATCACAATTCACTCAAGTGGAACCTCGTTCAAACACAAGGGTGACTCGATAAGGTATAGACACGAAGAAAGTAGGGTCGCTCTATCTAAATCAATCAGGCTCAAGTAGTGTGAGCTACCTAACACGAAAACAACCCTTAGACACACGGCTCAAAGGGGTTGACTAAAGGATGATATGATCGGGTCGATCAACATTTGGGTCGTGGACTAAACCTATGCCTCCATCTTCCTTGCTAGCAACAACGTGAATGCTACACATCATGTAAAGGGGGATCTATCACACAAGAACGAAACGAACGACACAAGTCTCACATGGCTACCTAGGTGCTCAATCATTCGGTCGAACTGCCTAAACTCGATGCATAGGCAACTGTGAAAAGCAAGTAATCGATTCAAAACATATATCGGTTCACAAACATATGAGAAATGAACCTATGCACAAACCTAATGTAACACCCTACCCTATACGTTTTGCCTAATCATATTGTTCATACAATTGCAGCGGAATTAAACTTGGGTGTTACATTAATTATCAAAATTTACCCAAATAAAATTTCGACATGAATTACTCGCGTAATGGGCTAACAGTTCTTGCAACTTATCCTGCAAAATAATTCATATGAATCCCTTCATTCGTAGACATACAAATATACTCATAACCTTATACATTGCTTCTCATAGCCATAGGCATAGTTTCATACTCCGCAACTACATACCTTACTAATACATGTCATAGTCGTCACAACTTACACAGTTACACAACATATACACATATCATCAACTTTCCACACCTGTGGATATCTCACACTACATCAGAAGCTAGTATGCACATGAAAAACGTTCTCAAAACATTTTTACAAAAAGGTGTGGATCACTAGCCAAAATCCCGAGCAGTAGTCCAAGCACAGAATGGTTGAAGACCATACCTCATCTTGCCTTCAACTCTTGCTCAGATCCCACCTATACACCTATCTACTGCTGCTGATGATGATCTGCTTACACATAGCATAAGCAGAGAAGAAGAATAAAAGAGGGTCAGCTCATAGCTGAGTGAGATAATCATAGCATCGTGAGTTCATAACAGAGCATACCCCTACCATACATCTAGCAAACAAGCCAAAGCACTGGGATCAGATCTCAGCCCTCCAACATCCCAATAGGCAAAAGACTCAACCACCTTGACTTATGCATATGCATCTTATCATGTTTTAATCATAGGCGCCTGGCTACTCCCATGCTAATAACTCTCCCGGGAAACATACCCCACATCCCGTCGATTCAAGAATAGATTTCGGGGACGAAATCTTTTAAGGAGGGGAGAATTGTAACATCCCGTTTCGACTAAAATCGTATTTCGATCGCTAGAAAGTTCGCGATTTAAAATCGAGCGTTTTAACAGTATTTCGACGAAAATCGGATTATCGATCGATCGGATAAGTATACGTATTAATTATATATATATATATATTAAGCGGCCGGCGTATATATTAAATCCCCCCCCCCCACTCGTCCTCGTCCATTATCATTTCTTCCATAACATAATTCCTGGACCGAGAAACCAACCGCGCACAGGGCATCGAGGGGGAAAACCTCAGAGCTCAATTCTTGAGCATAAGTGATCCAAAAATCCCGTAAGTAATGCCTAATTCATCCATACATCGTGATTTATCGATTTAGAGCTTTAAAACGAGTTTTTGGTTCAGGAATTTCTTGAATTCCCGATCTGCCAAATTAGGGTTTCGGAGTATCCGGAAGCCGGATTGAGCCCGAATTTCATATACGAGCTTCCTGCAGCGAGGTAATCAATCCTCTAGTTTTAATCCCTGAATTTCGGCTATTATTTAGGCCGGGGTCCAAACCGCTGAATTAAGCTCCGACCAGGGTTTGATGTGTTTTTATCGAGAATTTGGCCTGGAGCCCAGAACTAATATTGACGGGGATACTGCAGGGGATATTAGGACGGTCTCGGATTTTAATTCGGGGTTCGTTCGTGAAATTGACGTTTTAGTACGGGAGGCTAGAACCGGTGTTTGAACGACCAGAACTGGTGAGGGATTAGCACGGCATACCGGGTTTGTCGTATCATGATAATTATTTTGATACTTAGAATTGACCTAGGTGAACTAGAATGGCATGATTAGGGGTGTATGGACTTTTGTGTTATATGATGAACCCTGGACTGTTGTATGATATTATTGTTTTGCCCTAGCCGATATGGACCTTGTTTATGTTGATGATTGCATACATGTTGCCAATTGTGGCTTAACCGTTGTTATGAATTCATGGTTGTTCGATCAGGTGTTTTGATATGATGTGATATTGTGGTTGTATTTGGATTCACAAGTGGGGGAAATAAACTTCCCAAGGTGATATTATGATGTTTTAAGGAGGATGACTTGCACGAGGGTTTATCCCGAGGAAGTGCAATTATACGACTCCTGATTTACCTATGTTGAGCCAATTGTGGCCTGGTCAAGTACATGTGCAAGTAACGAATTATGATTAAGCAAGATGAGATATGAATCATGTATAAGGATACCAAATATGAGTGTTGTGGTCTCACGGTCAACTACATAGTAATTAGGGCTCCCTATGCTATTACTCTATTATGATATGTATGATAGTCACACCTCTCATGTGGTGGTGACTGAAGAATTCTTACGAGATATGACCACACCCAGAGCGGTGTCGGGGTATGACTACACCCATAGTGGTGTGGGGTATGTATGACCACATCCGACGGGATGTTGGGGTATGTATGACTACATCCGACGGGATGTGGGGTATGTTTCCCGGGAGAGTTATTAGCATGGGAGTAGCCAGGCGCCTATAAGTAAAACATGATAAGAAGCATATGCATAAGTCAAGGTGGTTGAGTCTTTTGCTTAATGGATATGAGGATGGCTGAGGTCCGATCCTAGTGTTTTGGCTCGTTTGCTAGATGTATGGTAGGGGTATGCTCTGTTATGAACTCACGATGCTATGATTATCTCACTCAGCTATGAGCTGACCCTCTTTTATTCTTCTTCTCTGCTTATGCTATGTGTAAGCAGATCATCAGCAGCAGCAGTAGATAAGTGTTAGGTGGGAGAGGAGCTAGAGTTGAAGCCAGGATGAGGTATGGTCTTCAACTATTCTGTGCTTGGACTACTACTCGGGATTTTGGCCAGTGATCCACACCTTTTTGTAAAAATGTTTTGAGAACGTTTTTCATGTGCATACTAGCTTCTGATCTAGTGTGAGATATCCACAGGTGTGGAAAGTTAATGATATGTGTATATGTTGTGTAACTGTGTAAGTTTTGACGATTATGGTATGTATAAGTATGGTATGCAGTTAGGAAGTATGAAAAGTGTGACTATGGCTAAGAAAAGCCAATGCATATGGTTGTGAGTATATATGTTTGTGATGAATTATTTTGCAGGTTCAGTTGCAAGAACTGTTAGCCCATTACGCGAGTAATTCATGTCGAAATTTTATTTAGGTAAAATTTGATAATTAATGTAACACCCGAGATTAATTCCGCTGCAATTGTATGAACAATATGATTAGGCAAAACGTATAGGGTAGGGTGTTACACCTAATACATGTCTCAATCATCATCATAGGTTGCACATAATAACAAGCAAATCATCCATTGGCAATGCTAATAACCACGAGATTCAAAACAAAACAACACAAGTTCCACTACGATCATGCAAATGTAGAAGTTGCATGCTTGGGCCCTCAAAATTTTCAAATTTGGGCATACAACTAGGCTCCAAGCATTCAAAATCACACCAAACATTCACACACGCATGCATAGTGGACTACCCCCCCCCCCCCCACACACACACACACTTAAGCTCGACATTGCCCTCAATGGCGTAAAAGAAGGAGGTAGAATGATGTTACCGTATAGTGGTGAATGTTGGTTTTCGGGAGCGGAGGGCGGGTGAGATCTGGAAGAACAAGGAGATGGCAAAACAAAAGGTCGACTTATTGAAGCCAAAAGAAAACAAACAGATGGTGGTTGGGTTGCCTCCCAACAAGTGTTTCTTTAACATTGTGAGCCGGACGGTTGCTCTTCAAGTTTCAGTCCACCCAAGAACCTCCTTGAAGTTGAGGTTCTCGTTGGTGAGGTGGTCTCACAAGTCATGAGCTTTGGATGAATCCATGATTGAGGGCTCGTGAACTTGAGTTGTCATGCGGCTCCACCCACGAGACCTCTCCTTTCTTTCTTCTTCATTCTCTTTGCCCCATACCATATAGTGCAAACTCGATTGGCTTCCATCACATCCACCAAGAGGGACCGTTGATTGTTTGGCCTTGGATTGGCAAAGAGCCGCAAATGGGTCCTTCTCCAAAAGTGCATCGAGGTCGGGTGGAAAGCATTGGTAGCACTTGTAACTTGTGGATTCTTCATCCACCTTGACCTCGTCCTCATCTTGGACACCACTTGCTCCTTCTCCTTCTTCCTCAACCTCCCTTCCTTCTTTTTCAATTTCCTCCCGTTGGGAAGAATCAAGGTATTCCCCTTCTTCGATGCTCACTTCTCCTCTTCAACCTCTTCTTTCTCCTTCCCATTCATGTCTCCAAGACGAATTTGCAGGCAAGATGCCATGCAAGGTCATAGAAGGGATTCTCTTGCTCCTCCACACTCGTGTCTTGGTCTTCAAAGTTGCTTTCGGGAAGGGGAAGATGATGGGAGTCGTCAATGCAAACTTCTTGTTCATCCTCACCATGAGTCTCTGGGGTGAGTTCCTCTAGCTCCACATGGTTTTCATTGAGCGCCCCTTCAACTTCCTTTTTCTCCTCCAATAATGAGAGGTGATAGCTTTCACAAGCTCGTGCCACTTTCTCTTCTAGTGTCAAACCGGGAGGAGGGAGGGGTTGGAAATCCATGCTGGAGCTCATTCTCCCAAGGGTCTCATGGCTTGCCTCTTCGCCCTCCTCTTTATCTTCTTCAAATGGCAGGAGGCGATTGCGAGCAAGTTGTGCACATGCTTGCTCAACAAGCTCTCTTTGCCCCTTCATGCGTCGATGGAGCTCCTCCGCCTCCCGAAGAAAGGTCGAGTCGATAGGGCTGACGATGGGAAGGTCCAAATTGGAGCATCCCTCTTCGGTACCTCGGGCAAATTTCTCCACCATGAGATTCCAATTTCTCTTTGGCTCCGGTTGTGGAGTGGCACATGGTCTTGACGATTGTCCCATGAAGGCTTCCATGGCCAACTCCAACTTGAATTTCTCCTCGGGTTGTGGAGGGAAATCTTCCTGATATGGGGAAGCCTCTTCATATCCCCAATGGTATGGTTTTTCTTCTTGGAAGGGGGGTTGGTAATAGAACTCGGATCCTTGGCTTCCCCCTTCTTGTTCGCTCCATGAAGCTACTGGGTACTCCCATTTGGGTGGTTGTGGATTCCCCCGACATATTGTAGAAGCTATTGGGATCCACGATTCATAACCTACATAAACAAAAAGGAAAAAATAAAATCACCCAAACACAAACCACCCTTCCAAGAGAAGAGTGGGTAAACAAAACACAACACGAAACACAAACAAAAAGGAAAGATAGAAAATGCTAGACTAACACTAAGGGACCTTTTTAAAACAATGGACCGCTATTCCTCGGCAACGGCGCCAAAATCTTGACTCGCACAAAACTACACCACAAATTTATCCCGACTAGAGACCAAGTTTTTAAACTCTAGCTGGGTGCAGTATAGGGCAAGTATTTAATCGTCAAACCCGGGCCGGTCCATATACCCCTACTTCAATTGCTTAAGTTGTTATCTAGCAAAACGGATTTGGTTTTAAATCTAAGAAAACTACAAAGTAAACAAACAAGGAAAGTAAATCGAGGAGAATTCTACTTGAGAGGACTTCACCTGGGTATTGCTCCTCCTAGTCTCATAATAAGAAGCAATGAACTACCTCTACTGTGAAGGATGTGTTCTTATACCGTGAGGCGGATGCAACTAGCTAGGGATAAACATTCCTAGTCGATCGATTAAGGATTGCAACAAAAAGCTAGGAAACTTAGCTCTCTTAACCGATCAACCGAGGAAACCCTAACTCTCTTAGTCGACCAATTCAGGATTGTTGCATTAAGTTAGTGGACTAACTCTCTTTACTTTTCGTCTAAGGATGAAAACAATAGCTAGACGATCTAACCTCTCTAACCCGGTCGACTAAGAATTGCAAACCCAAGCCCTCGGATATTAACCTGCACGGTGGATAAACCAATCACACTAAAATCATGGTACTACTCCAATACTTGTGGTTTTGTCCCTAGATAAACATAGAAGGTGTTACCCTAGTGGCTAGCAGGTCAAGCTCCCTATGGGCCAAAAGGGGATTTCCACCCACAAGGCTAATTTTGTCCTAGCAAAGAGATAATGCAATCAATACTCGCTAGTCATGATTAATTTAAGGTTTGTCCTCAATTGTCTAGGTGGGTGACACAAATTGGCCAAGAATCAAGCTTCTCAAAGCCACTTTCAACAAGGCGATTCTCTCCACCTAGGTCAAAATGACCCAATAATGAGTTAAAGCTAGCACACTCAATCATTCATGAACAATACCTCAAATATTATATAGAACACACAACCAACACAATAGAATCAAGTTCTTACATCCTAACATACATCTAGACTAGGATTCACAATATCCAAGTGAGCAGGAAGGCTAATCCTTAGCTAGACAAAGGAAAACAAGAAAAAGGAGAGAAAGAACCATGAAGAGATGAAAATCTTCCTTCCTCCTTGCTTGAATCTCCTTTGAGAGGTAAGAATCTTCACTCCTCTAGCTTAGGGCAAGCCCAATATCCTTCTTCCTCCTTTGAATGACACTTTCTCTCTCTAGAATGGGAAGAAGAAACCCTAATCCCTCACTAGAAAACCCCCTTTATTCTGAAAATTAAAATCCTAGAAAAAGCTCTCCTTTCTGTCTCCCAGCAGCCTTCTATTTATAGAGCCCGACAATCACTCCTCACGGTCAGATGTCAAGGCCGTGACACTCGGGCTCTGACCTCTACATTGGACCAAAACACATGTCAGTGGTGTCGTTTAGGTCCATCTTCATGGTCAACGGCTGATTTTCACGGTCAATAGACCGTGAACCACTCGGGCGTTAGTAACCTTAGAACAGGCTCTGGAAGTAGACAATGTCACTCCCAAAGGGAAATCGTCACGGTCATAAGACCGTGACATTGGACCTTTGCCCTTGACAATTGATTCTCACGCCCAGTGATCAATTGTCAAGGTATGTTGACCGTGACATTTGACCTTGCCCTTGACATTGGACTGTTCTTCACTTTATTTCACTTTTTGGCGCTTTATCGACTCCAATCATCCTGAAACTCGTCCTCGACCTTCCCACACGTACTAGGACCTGAAATATGACAAAACAAGCACAACCTAGTGTGAAATATGTTGAGGGACGACGAAATGCAAAGTCAAACTATCAAGAAATGAGTGATAAAATGTGCACATTTAGGCCCGAATCACTCCTTCCAAGTAAATGCTAAAGCAACGGTCTAGGTGCTACTAAAAACCGCCACATGTTACCCCGGCGGTTGCCAAAACCTCTACTACTCCTTTTTTGACCGTCGGAACGACAACGACTATGCGGTGGTTTAGCACACTGCAAAAACTCTTTAGTGGCGGTGAAAACTGCTCCCATAGGCTGCTAAAACCATTGTGAAAGCCGGATTTTCTTGTAGGGTGGAAAAGGCCATGGAAGAATTTAGCAGAACTAGTCATTCTCCTCAGATCCATATCTTGTATTAAACATAAATCAGAGAAGAAAGTTAAGGACAATTACTTGTTTGTGATTAACTTGCTAACCGAGATCAGGTTTAAAGTGAATTGGGGCACAAACAACACTTCATTTAAGGTCAATTCAGCAACACAGGTTACTGTACCAATATGTGTGGCTTGAACTCGTTGTTAGAAGTTTGAGTACCATTCTGTAATTATCCAAGTTAGGGTTAGTAGTTAAGTATATAAACGTGTATTGTATGGTTGGCTAGGTTATCTCTTTGGTGATAATAAGAACTCTCTGCCGTAGTGTCGTGGACTAGTCTCGACGATCATCGTCGGGGAAACCACGTAAACTTGTGTGTCCTTGTGATTATTCCTTCTCGTTCGTGTGTTTGACATGGTATCAGAGCCTCCTGCTCTTCGTGTTTAGTGATTTCGTGTGTGTGATCAGGCTGTTTACGTCTCGTGGGTTCTTGAGATTTTGTGTGCGTCTGCTGTGTTCGGCTGTGTGTCGCTACCAATTTTGTGACAGGGTTGGTTGATTTTGTGGGGTGGATATCATGGAGAGCTTGAAGGTGGATCTGATCTCGTTTAATTTTATGGGTAAGAATTTTTCCCTCTAGGAATTTCAATTCCGTCTCCATGTTCAAGGGCGTCGTCTGCTTCACATCCTTGATGGTTCGTCTAAGGAGCCCGCTGCCGATGAGTCCGCCAAGGACAAAGCAGATTGGGCGGTGAATAATGCCGTGGTTATGTCTACGCTCCTGGGTTCGGTGGATCCTGGGATTTCCCTACTCTTTAGGGGTTTTACTACTGCATTTGATATGTGGAGTCATCTCACGAAGCTATATTCCAAGGCAAGTGCCTCCCGCAAATTCGACGTGGAACATGATCTTGCATTGCTCATGCAGGGGGATCGTGATGTAAGTGCCTATTATCAAGAGGCTGTCACTCTTTGGGCTGAGCAGGATCTATCCTGAGCTCGTTGGCCCCTGCTACTGTGACGCTGGAAGTTCTTCAGGAAAGGTCGGGTTCTCGTGTCATGCGGCTTATTATGAACCTCCGTCCGGAGTTTGAGAGCATTCGAGCTTCTCTTTTGCACCGCGATGTCACTACTATGGAGGAAGTACTTGCTGAGCTGCTCCGAGAAGACACTCGATTAAAGAGTCAGGCTAAGTTAGACATCCATGCTAATGACTCGGGTTCGGCTTTCGCTGTTCGTGGGGGTGGCAAGCCCCAATTTCATCGTACGGCCAAAGGTGATATTATATGTCATTATGGCAAAGAACTAGGGCAAATCCGGTTCCATTGCCCCAAGAGGAGTTCATGTAATTATTGCAAGCTAGATGGGCATCTCATTCAAGCTTGTCCCACTTTTGCTCAACGAGGCCGTTCTCGCCAGGGATGGTTTCGTGGTGGACCAAGCCGTTCTCCCTCTTCACCCGAGAGTACGTATGCTACGGTGGCTAGTGGAGGAGTAGTTGGTTGTGCTGGGTCCTCGAGCTCGACAGCTCCCTTAACCTTAGAGGATGTTCGCCGGCTTGTGCAAGAGGCTTTAAAAGACGCCTTGCCAACCGCCTTGACTTCAGCTTTTTCTACGGTTAAGGTTTCCTCCTCTCATTCAATGTGGCATATTGATTCCGCAGGCTATAATCACATGACCAGCTCGCCTAGGGTGTTTAGTAGGCTAGACTCGACCATTTATGGATTTGCAGGCTGCTGATGGGTCCAGAATGGCGGTGGCTGGTGTTGGTCATGCTACTCAGTCTCGGATATCTCTACCTCACACTCTATTTGTTCCTAAACTAGTGCCTAATCTTGTCTCGGTGGGTCAGTTGGCGGAAGATGGTTGTCAGGTAATATTTGATGAGGCTGGGTGTACTGTGCAGGACACGAGGACGGGGAAGGAACTAGGGAGAGGTAGTAAGAAGGGTCGTGTCTTTTTGCTGGACTACTATTCTTGTTCTATTGGTGGGAGGAGTGGCGGTTACTAGAAGTCGGTGCCAGCTGGGCAGGCGGACTCGGACTTGCTGCCTGGGAAGGATCGAACAAGAAGTTCAACAGATAGAGAGTTTTGTCATAGTATTTCAGATTTTTCTGGTTTCTTTGTCAAGTTGTCCAACTGGGATTTATGGCATTTTCGTTTGGGGCATCCCAATTCCGTGAGACTGCGCACTATGTTTCAGAATAAGTGGTTATCGGGTGGGCATGCTCTTGATCAGGATCATGAATGTGTTCATTGCTTGCAAGCCAAAATTTCACAACATTCTTTTAATTCTAGTGAGACTGTGTATTCTAATTCTTTTGACCTTGTGCACACTGATTTGTGGGGCCCGTCTACTGTGACTTCTCGTATGGGATTTCGATATTTTGCCTTGTTCATTGATCATGCTACTCGGTTCACCTGGGTGTTCTTTCTGCGGCAGAAGTCTGAAATGATCTCAATAATCAAGGATTTTCTTCATATGGTATCGACACAGTTTGGCAAAACTGTGAAGATACTGCGTTCGAATCCAGGTGGTGAATTTACATCACATCCCTTGCAAGCTTTACTACGGGAGAAAGGTATTCTTGTACATCAATTGTGTCCTGGAGTTTCTCAGCATAACGGGTTGGTTGAGAGAAAGCATCGCCATGTGTTTGAACTCACTCGAGCCATTCTCTTTCACTCACAGGTTCCTTCGGGTTTTTGGGTGGAGGCAGATCACACGGTGGTTTATCTGATTAATTGTCAGATTACCTCAGTTATTTAAGACCGCAGCCCGTATCAAGTGCTCTACTCCAAACTTTCGAACTACGGCTGGCTACGTGTGTTTGGGTGTGC